ATAATTTTGTGGCCATTCTTTTTAATAATTGTTTAGAGGCATATTTTAATGATTAAAGGCCTATGATCATCAAAATTTGTCAGTTGATGCATCTTGGGTCCTCGGAGTACGTCAACTAAAAAGTAGGTCATCTTGACCTACTTTTTGAATTTTATGGCTAATCTTTTTCAAAACAATTAAGGTCATTAATTCGAATACTGAGAGGTTTAGAATCATAAATCTTGTAAGATGATGCATCTTGGGGGCATAAAGCATATTTATTTCAAAAGTAGGTCACAGTGACCTACTTTTTGAACTTTGCAGGCATTCGATTTCAAAGCGTTTTATAGGCATAATTTGGACATTTTAAGGCCTATGATCATAAAACTTTGTAAGTTGATGCATCTTGGGTCCTCGAAAAACGTCAACTGAAAAGTAGGTCACCGTGACCTACTTTTGAAATTTAATGGCTATATTTAAGTATTTGGGTAATATTCGGCTTAGATTCATCAAAATTTGTCAGTTGATGTATTTTGGGTCCTCAGAGTAGGTCGACTGAAAAGTAGGTCACGGAGACCTACTTTTCAATTTATATGACTATAATTAAATATTTCAGGTACTAATTGGCTTAGAATCATCAAACGTTGTCAGTTGATATATCTTGGGTCCTCAAAGTACCTCAACTGAAAAGTAGGTCACCGTGACCTACTTTTTAAATTTTATGGCTATATTTAAATATATTTGGGTACTATTTGGCTTAGAATCATCAAACTTTGTCAGTTGATGCATCTGATCCTCAGAGTAAGTTGATTGAAAAGTAGGTCACTGTGACCTGATCAAATATGTTTCAGGTACTAATTGGCTTAGAATCATCAAATTTTGTCAGTTGATGCATCTTGGGTTCTCAAAGTATTCAACTGAAAAGTAGGTCACTGTGACCTATTTTTGAAATTTTATGGTTATAATTAAATATTTCGGATACTAATTGGCTTAGAATCATCAAACTTTGTCAGTTGTTCATCTTGGGTCCTCGGAGTATGTCAACTGAAAAGTAGCGCTAGTTCAACATGTCCTACTATTGAAATTTTATGGCTTTATATAAATATTTCAGGTAATATTTGGCTTAGAATTATCAAACTTAGTTAGTTGATGCATCTTGGGTCCTCGGAGAATGACAAGTGATAAGTAGGTCACCATTACCTACTCTCAGGTACTAATTGGCTTAGAATCATCTTAAGTTCTCAGAGTGTTTTATCTAAAATGTAGGTCATGATGACCTACTTTTGGAATTTCAAGGCTTTATTTAAATATACAGGATGCTTAGAGGCTTCAAATAGAAGTGATACTGGTTGTACAATTTATCAGAAAAGCGATTCAAGGCCCTTGGGCCTCTTGTTTGGTTTTAAATTTGCTTTTATATCACAACATTCGCATCTTTCTGAGAAATACTAGTACATTAAGTCAACGGTCATGTCACAAACATGATTTATTAATACCAGTATTCATCAGGAGTTGTGTAGCGTAGTGGTAAGCATGTTATTCTCAAAAGAAAATGATAGTCAAGATTTTTATTGCCAGGTTCAAACCCCACGAATACCACATTACTTTTTTAATAAAAGAATAATTTTTACCGAGAAAATCTTCCTTAGAAAAGTTTTGTTTAATATCACAATTTCATAATATCAATAATCAGAACTTTATTCTTAAATAATTAAATTCACAAATTGAGTATGATTTTTATATATTGGAATCTATAGGCATTCTGCACGCCTTGTTCGCCCATCTCCTTTACAATCATAAAGCAATATGAGCTGCAGCTTTGATGTCAGAAATTTTTGTTGCAAAATTCTACTTAACTACATGTAAACTTCTGTTGTTCATATTTGCGATGGAAGAACTATTTATAAGCTTTGATTGAAGCAAAATTACATTATAGTCGTCCTGTACAATATTGATTTCTTGTATAATACAATATATTTGATTATTCTGAAACAATTTGATAGTTTATTTCTGTGTAATTGATCAAAAAGGTTTAAGTTACATACAAATTAATCATAATAGCACATTTTAACAGCAAAATAAAATTCTCCAAAATGCTACTCATGTTAATGTTTATCTTTTAATGAATCCCCATACCTTTCTCTGCAATATTTCTAGATAATCTTTGGTAAAAGAAGGTACCCCTTAATTCGAATTTTGATGGCACTTTAAAATTATATGTCAATTAACATATATTTGACTGAATATGAACGCGTATATTTATGGTGATTTTTTTTCTCAAATAAATATCTTTCATTTATTCAAATATATGAATATTTATATTTGCTTATTCTAATTAGTCAAAAAAAAAAAAAGAGTTGTGTCCGATTATTTTGGACAGGCTGCCAACCGGTGCCTATTCATGGGCGCGATCCCACTACTGCAGAACACGGGGACCTCTGTCTGCTGTGTTTCCACCCTAGGCCGTTACGTCCCTCCTTAGACAACCTGGACACCCTGGGCTCCCCTGAGGTGACCATATTGATTTAATTTAAACAATATTTTATTATGATTAAACATAACTGGATTGGACAGCAGGCACTGCCTATATAAGTTCTCTCCACAATACATGTACAGGTCAAATCATACATGTTACAAGTAAATATTAATTACATAACATTGAAAAGATATATGTGTATATTCCAAAGAGATTTATATATAAAAAAAGACAAAATAAGTAGGAAAAAAATATAAATGAGCTGATGATACTATATAAGTTTGCATTTTGACCTTTGATCATATTGATGCCGTGCTTAGTGCGGACGCTCGATCGACATAGGTCGCCGGAGAGCAGGACCCCCGCCCTCAAATCGTCCACCAACTCTGACCTCCGAGTATACCTGGATTACAGGAGCACGCCACAACTCCCAGTCGATAGTTTGAGAACATTTTATCAATAAAAAAACTTCCTATTTCCTAGTTCCAAGCTGTGCGTTTCCCATGTTTCCATTTATATATAATATATAAAAAAAAAATTATCATTTTTTTTTCTTTAAAAGTACATGAAGTGCAATCCACTTTTCAATTTAAGAATCTCTTGTCTTGTAAATTTACTACGTCAATAAACTTTCCAATCGGAAGTCCTATAGCCCCAGGCTTTCTGTTGTACATGTATATACTTTAGCTGCTATGTAGCCCTCTCCGATTTTTTTTTTTTTTGGGGGGGGGGGGGGGCTACAACTCCTTCGGATCTCCGTAATAGTGCAAATGCAGGAGTGATTCACAATCACACAGATTTCGGCTCAAATTATCAGATTTAAAAAAAATCGGAGAGGGCTACATTATTGCAACTATATGTACTATAGGGCTGTGTATTGAGCAAAAAATTTCGATACAATACGATACGATATTTTTTAAAGCGATATGCGATATATTGGATTCTTGAACAAGTCTACCAAAAAAGTCTTGTAAATCATTTAATACATACATTTTATAAAAACTGAGTGTTTTATAACCCATTTCTAAGTTCTTGTCTCACTGTCATTACAAAATACGCTTCAAATTTAAACTTTTTAATGACTGTAAAACCAACATGTGAAAATATAATTGTCAACGTATTTTGTAATACTTATTTATTATGTGCTATCTCCTAAATGTTTATATCATTATTGACCTGTTTTAATTAAAAACAGTTAAATATAATCTTTGGTGATTGAAATGCCCAACTTTTTCACAGAATTATAAGAAAAACTGCCTGCATGATACATATTGAAAGTTATTTTTTCGATACGGTACATTCTTGAATATTGATACGTATTGATATATCGATATATTGATACAGCCCTAATGTACTAGTATATCAGAGTCTATACATTTTTCTGCTCGCTGATTTTTTTTTTTTCAGTTTGGGATTACTTTGGGGTGTATGGGAGCTTAAAAAGTAAAATTTAGTTGATCCGTTATTACTTCTGACACCAAAGAATCAGTTCGTACGTATAATAATGAAACTTATAAGCATAGATTGACTGAAAAAACAATGATGCATGGATATTGTTCAAAGACTCCATTTACTTCAAAATATTTTCCCTTTGGAACACTGGTAAACATAATCAATATCCGGGAATCATAATCAATACCCGGTGATCATAATCAATACCCGGTGATCATAATAGCCGATTAAAACAATTCTGCATTGTAAAGCAGTATTTTTCTCTCAAAGACGTATAAGAAGGTGAAAATGAGGAGTAATTGATATAGTTCGTTTCTATAGATACAATCATGATGCAAAATTAAAATATCTTGATATTTTGATTTCAATTTGCATGTTAATCAGAAAATTTACCAAAAAGGCATGATTCCATACATAACTTTCGGTCATCAACTTACCAATTTACAATCTTCAGCTAAACGTATTCAAATAATGAAAATATCTTTTTGGAACAAAATAAAATCGTTTTAAAATCTATTTTTTTTTTTAAAAAAAAGTAGATTTTTTTCATTTGATGTTTTCATGTCAAAACAACTTCAAAACCCATTAAATGATGCCCATGTCTACAAATTTCTGACTCAGAAAAGGGGATACATTCTTCCTAGACCACCAGATCACAACTCGACCCCCGACCCCCCCCCCCCCTTCAAGAAACCTGGCAACAATTTTGCTCAAGTCCATCCCGGCATAGTTTTCGATGTTGACAAGAAACATCAAATTAAATCAAACCAGTTTGATCTTCATACTGAGAACCTTGTATTTCACATGGATATTCTTTATTATTTTTGTGTCAGAATGTTTCCTCCCATTTGGTTTTTTGTTATATCGGGATCGGTGTTCTCTAGCGGGATCGGGATACGAATTCAATTCTTATTTGAGGTATAATATGTATGTTGTTTTGGATCTCGTAACCAGCCTCTATAACCAGGCAGAGCGCATGCGTGAAATAATTTTCCATCGAGATCGGAAAACAGCAGAGAGGAAATTCGGAATATATAATGGAAACTAGTGATGCGGAATGATACTATAGTCAGAAGCAGAAATTTTTGCATAATTCGATCAACTTTTATTTAAAAAAGCAGAAGAATAAATGAATCAACTTTACAGTTAGTTTTTATTTATTTATTTATTTAATTATTAATTAATTAATTTATTTATTTAATTCATTTATTTATCATTCTTATAATTAATTAACTAAGTAACTGATTAATTTATTAAAAAATATATATTTGTATTTTTTTTAATTCATTTATAACATTCTTTCCTTCATTTATTAATTATTCCATCCATTAATTAATTATCGATTAATTAATTCATTGATTTATTAATTTGTATGCATGTTTGTTTGTTTATTTATTTATTTATTATTCTAATAATTAAGTAATTGATTAATTCATGAAGAAGTTCATTTATTTGTTTATTTATTTATTATATTCATTCCTTCATTTATTTCGTATTCTATTAATTAATTTATTTATTTATTTATTTATTTATTTATTATTTATCTATTTATTTATGCATTCATTTATTCGTATTTTTATTAATTTCTTTATTGATTGATTGATTTATTTTTGCATTTATTTATTGATTTATTTATGCATTTATCATATATTTCTTTTATAAATTAATTATTTTTACAGGGTTTGTATACTGATTACCAGGGTCTGTTTATGTATTGCCATAGTTTATATACCATCACCAGGGTCTATATACCTATCACCAGGGTCTGTATACCTATCACCAGGGTCTGTATACCTATCACCAGGGTCTATGTACCTATCACCAGGGTCTATATACCCATCACCAGGGTCTGTATACCCATCACCAGGGTCTGTATACCCATCACCAGGGTCCGTTTTATCTATCACCAGGGTCTATATACCTATCACCAGGGTCTGTATACCCATCACCAGGGTCTGTATACTTATCACCAGGGTCTATGTACCTATCACCAGGGTCTATATACCTATCACCAGGGTCTGTATACCCATCACCAGGGTCTGTATACTTATCACCAAGGTCTATGTACCTATCACCAGAGTCTGTATACCCATCACCAGTGTCCGTATTATCTATCACCAGGGTCTTTATACCCATCACCAGGGTCTGTATACCCATCACCAGGGTCTGTATCCCCATCACCAGGGTCTGTATACCCATCACCAGGGTCTGTTTACCCATCACCAGTGTCTGTATTATCTATCACCAGGGTCTTTATACCCATCACCAGGGTCTGTATACCCATCACCAGGGTCTGTATACCTATCACCAGAGTCTATATACCCATCACCAGGGTCTGTATTATCTATCACCAGGGTCTATGTACCTATCACCAGGGTCTATATACCCATCACCATGGTCTGTATACCCATCACCAGGGTCTGTACGAGTACGTATCACCAGGGTCTATGTACCTATCACCAGGCTCTGTATACCCATCACCAGTGTCTGTATTATCTATCACCAGGGTCTTTATACCCATCACCAGGCTCTGTATACCTATCACCAGGGTCTGTATACCCATCAACAGAGTCTATATACCCATCACCAGGGTCTATATACCTATCACCAAGGTCTGTATACCTATCACAAGGGTGTGTATGCCCATCACCAGAGTGTATATACCCATCACCAGGCTCTGTATACCTATCACCAGGGTCTCTATACTTATCACCAGGGTCTGTATATACCCACCACCATCTATAACTATCATCAGGGTCTATATACCTATCACCAGGTACTGTATACCAATCACCAGGGTCTCTTGACCCATCACTCGGGTCAGTTTATCTATCACCAGGTTCTGTATACCAATCACCAGGGTCTATATACCCTTCATCACGGTTTTTTCTTCCCTCGTGCAGGGTCTAGTTCCCATCTTTTTAGTAGGGTAACCTTCAACATAGTTTGCATTATGAAAATGAATCCAATTACTTTTTAGGGTGTCTTCATAAACGTAACATCTTGTGGAGAACGTATGAGTTGTTCAATGAACTATAATGATTTTATTGTGATTAAGATGCATTGACTCTAATGTTATATTGATCTTATTTACTTTTTATTTTGTAGTGTAAGCCTGTCAAGGAGGAAGCAAAGGATATAGAAACTTATAACAATGGACAAAGATTTATAATTGTGTGGAACTATCTTTACATTGTAAATGCCAATGTATCCTGATTCCTCTATTGCATAAATCGAGAGAAATCTAATAATTCCATTATGTTGTTTACTTGTTCCAGAGAAAATGTGAAGATATACATATCTACATAATTAATCAATAAAGTGTGAAATTTTAAAAATTATCATAAAAGAAGAGCAACCAACACAAAGTTCAAATTTCTTCTATGTTCATGACAGTAGAACAGTAGGATAATAGTGCCAAAATTTGTGTTCTACAAACCCTAGCTGTCATGTTGTCAAGAAGGAGACCCAGTGTATTTTCACTGCATGGAAATGATATGGAATGTCTTTAATCGTTTTTTTGTTGTTGTTTTTTTTCTTTTTGGTTGGGATGCAATCGTCTATGGCATATTGTGACTGTCGTGGCGGCTCATCATATTTAAAATTATTATATATTTTTAAAGTGGGATGTTCTGTTTAAAAGCTTAGGACCAAGGATCGAGTTACTATAGTATGATTTGAAAGTCGATCAAACTTCAATGTCAAGTTTATGAGGTTAAAAATCAAAGTATATTTGGAACGTCTTGTTAGAGCTATGTTCATGTACAAGAAAATATTAAAGTCCTGTCTCATCAGGTACAAAGCTTTGGCCAGGATTAAAAGTTTTGTAAAAAGAAAGTCAAATGCCAAGGTCAAAGATCTTAGGCTATATACATTCCAGTGACTTGTTATAGTTTTGTCACGGGTATTGCACAGGTCAATTATGAAAACATATATCTCATTCCATACTAAGCTTAGGTCAGGGTTATTTTTTTTTATAAGTATATCAAATTTCACTGACAAGGTCATAAGATAAAAAAAATAAATTCAGAAAGATTTTGTAATTCGTAATTCATATGTGGAATATGAGAGTCCGATCTTCTCAAAATTATTATATATTTTCTATTAGATGAATATTTCTTGAAATTGATAAACTAAACAAAAAATTATGACCAATGTTCAAATTTTTGTGATGAACAAACACATAGACTGTCCCGGCGTATTTGCTTTAGCAATGGAGAATAATTGAATAAAATTCCATGAAAGATAAATTGATAATTATGATAAAACGTTTTATTCAGCCCCGTAGGAAGCAATTTCAATTGGGGGGGGGGGGGGCACAGCCAAACATTTTTCAGTTGACAGTTGAGGGGGCACTACCAAAAATTTTCTGACAAGCTTAAAAAAAAAAAAAAAAGGTCGTCGACTACTAAATATTCCTTGACAAGCAAAAAAAAAAAAAAAAAAAAAAAAAAAAAGGTCATCAGGCGGTTTTATTGAGGGGGCACATGCTTATAGTATTTATCTTATAGTATTTATGTTTACTATAGTAATCTATATATCGGCAAAATTATTGGGGGGGGGGGCACGGCCCCCCCCCCCCCCCCGGTTCCTACGGCCATGTTATTTGAAGTAGTGATATGTATATCTTTCCAAATTAATTTTATTAGCAATACATATATTCAAAGAGTAAGGCGTAGATAGTGTATTAACCCCCCCCCCCCTCTCCATTTATTTTTGTAAACTTTAAAATATCATGCTGGCAATTTTTTTATGCTTGCTAAGATAAAAACTGATATATGAATAATTTACGGTCTAAAATTATTTCATATAAACACACTGCCCACACGTTAGGTGCCTGCAAACATCTATGTGCAACAGAGGCAATTGATGTTACTTTTTTGTATATATGAGGTAAAAAGGTTTTTTTTTTGTTATAAATACCTCCTGCATTTACAAGTGAGGTTTGAAATATTAAAATTTTATTTTAAGAAAATGCTCCGAATATTCGACTATCGTTCGAATAATGTTATCAAATAGTCGACTAAGGAAAATAAATATTTTGACATCCCTAAAAATACACAGTAACAAGATTTCGAATATGAACTTTTCGCATAATTAAATATGAATCACAGGGATTTTTTAAATATAATTATGAAGTATACACAATTTCAAAAATAAATCACAAGATAATCGAATATGAATTACAAAATTGAGTGTGTTTGTTTCTTATCTGACTATATCTTTGCGATTTCAAATAATTCTCCCATGTATCGTACATTTTTGGGCAATTTCATGATTTTAATCATGTGCAGGCAAACACAATCTGTGATTAATGTGTTAACTGTTGATTCTACTTGTTTTATAAACAAAATATTTCATAGAATTTTCCTACTAGATGTACAATTTGCAACCAGTTTAAGTGTTCTCAATTCTTTAATTTATTGGATAAGATAAATTAATCGAACGCTTTATTCGCATTTTTATGCCCCCGTATCGAAGATTCGGGGGTATGTAGTTTTGCCCTGTCCGTCCGTCTATCTGTTTGTCCGAAAAAACTTTAACCTTGACCATAACTTTTGATTGGTTGGAGCTATGACTTTCAAATTTTACATGTGTATTCCTTGTGACAAGACCTTTCTCTGGGTACCACCATATTTGACCTTGACCTTGGAGTTTGACCCAGTTTTGCAAAATTTTATCAAACTTTAACCTTGGTCATAACTTTTGAAAGGTCGGTGCTTTGGCTTTCATATTTCACAGGTGTATTTCTTGGAAGAAGGCCTTTCCTTGGGCACCATTAATTTTGACCATTTGACCTTGACCTTGATTTTTGACATACTTTTGAAAAAAAAAAATAACCTTATCCATATCTATTCAATCGTTGCTACCGGGGTTTTCATATTTCACAGGTTTATTCCTCGGGACAAGACCTTACTTTGGGTACCAACATATTTGATTTGCGTTTGAGAAAGTTTAACCTTTGCTATAAGTTGCCATACGGGGGCATCAGTGTTTCACAAACACATCTTGTTTTCCGTAACGGTGATTTTTGTACATCAGTATTGGGGGAATTCAAATTCATACTTTAACATAAACTCAGTAGGAGGGAAAATATTTATACAACAAATCAAATAATTTGCAATTATAAAATGTTAACTTGTTTTATAAAAGATAAAAAATTGTAATAACAAATTGTTAATCTGAAATTATAATTCGATGAATTGTAAATACAAATGAAATAAATAAAATCTTAGTGTTTAGGTGCCTTGAAAATCTATAGTGAGGTCGTTATTATTGGTCGACCTTTCCCTACACCTTGATCTACATGTTTAGGCCTTGAAATAAATTCCAAGCAACACATTCCAGACAATTATATAGCCATCCTTCTTTATTTATCATGATAGTTAGACTGACAACACTTTGTTATAAATAGTGACTTTAACCCACTTCCCCCAATAAAAATTCATGTAATCGATAGGTTATACCTCCTTAAATTTAAATTGAAATTTAAACTTAAATTTTCAGTGCAGGCGTTCATTAAAAAATATTTTTACAAAGTCGCAAAGTCCAAATGTAGACTTCAAAGCTAAGTATGCATGAAAGTTTGATATGTTTGATGTCAAAGAACATACCGTATTAATTTCTCGAAAGGTCTATAACATGGTCATTTCAGGCCAAAAATAAATAAACAAATTAGTGAACAAATAAACGTACAAATAAACCTCACTTTACAGCAAAGGACTTTCTCTTCTTTAGTGAACAAAATTATCTAAAATCTATAATGGTTATTATCGAATATTTCAATTTAATTTTGTTTGGTATTTCAAATTAAAACAAAATGTGTTTGTGAAACACTGATGTCCCTGTATGGCAGCTTTTGACAATGGTTAAAGTTTCTCAAATGCAACTCAAACTCAAATATTAAGGACATACGCAACGTACCTTACCTACTGATAATTTTTAAAGATATTCTTAATTTAAGATTATAGTGCCATCAGATGTTCGTAGACAAAAAATCAGCATGCATTACCAGGGGTTTTGAAAAGATATAAATTGATGAAAATTCTTGTATAATTCAAAGAAAAATATACAAAAATTATTAAACATATATTCTAGATGTTTTGTTTATCCAAATTTATTTTAGAAGAAGTGTACAACAGCATATATAGACATTAAAATGTAGCACACAGTTCCTTTAAGTATTTGAAATCCTCAACTCCAGGGAAAAAGACAATAAAGTTCAAACTACGTTGCGTATGTCCTTAATAGCTGAAAAATGTTGTTACCCAAAGAAAGGACTCTCAGTGAATATATCTGAGAAATAAGAAATTCCAGGCACTAACCATTCAAAAGGTTTAGCTCAGGTTAAAGTTTTTTAAATGTGGGTCAAACTGCAAGGTCAAGGTCAAAGGGTCAAATTAAAGGTACCCAGGGTAAGGCTTTGTCATAAGAAATACACATGTAAAACATTAAAGAATTAGCACCAACTGTTCAAAATATATGGCCAAGATTAAAGTTTTTCAAAAGTATGTCTTATTCCAAGATAAAGGTCAAAATTTCAAATATGTCGGAACCCAAAGAACGGATTTGTCACAAGGAATACACATGTGGAAAATAATAGCCCTGATACTAATTTCTCAAGGTTAAAATTTTAAAAGTTGGTAAAACTCAAAGGTCAAGATCAATTTTTTAATATCCGTTCAAAGGTCTTGCTACTATGAATACACATACTAGTATAAAGTATGAAAGCCCTTGCACCAACTGTTGAAAAGTTATAGCCAAGGTTAAAGTTTGGTAAATTCTTGAAAAAGTGGGAAAAACTCAAAGATCAAGGTCAAAAAAGTCAAATATGTTAGAACCCAAACAAAGGCCTTATCACAAGGAATGCACATGTGAAATATGAAAGCCATAGGTCCAACCAATCAAAAGTAATGGGCACGTTTTTGCGGACAGACAAACAGGTGATGGGTATACAGACCCTGGTGATAGATGTACAGCTCTAGTGAAAGATAATATAGACCCTGGTGATAAGTATACAGACCCTTTTAATAGATAATACCGACCTTGGTTATAGAAATACAGACGCTGGTAATAGATATACGGACCCTGGTAATAGGTCCACAGTCTCTGGTGATAGGTATACACACCCTGGTGATGGGTACATACAGACCCTAATGACAGATAATACACACCCTTGACATAGATTTACAGATTAAGACCCTGTTCATAGATACCCAAACCCTGGTGATGGGTATACAGACCCTGGTGATGGGTATACAGACACTGGTGATAGATAATACAGACCCTGGTGATAGTTATACAGACCCTGGTGATAAGTATACAGACCCTGGTGATGGGTATACAGACCCTGGAGATAGGAATACAGACTCTGGTCATTGGTATGCAGACCCTGGTGATAGGTATATAGACCCTGGTGATAGATAATACAGACCCTGGTGATAGGTATAAAGACCCTGGTGATAGGTATAAGGACACTGGTGATAGGTATATAGACCCTGGTGATAGGTAA